CCACAAGTGTGTCGCGCAGATGCGCAAGATCGGTAGCCGCTCAAATCTCTAGGGACTGGTATGTTCACACCAGATATAACATGTTTGAGTGCGCTCGCTCCCAAACTCTACTGAAGGCAGACGATGCCTAAGTAACACAAGCCTGATGTAACGGCAAGCCTACAGCCATGAACATGCCTGACGGTGCGACACCCAAAAATTATTACCTGGTAGATTTCACTGAATTTTCCCAGTTGAAAGTAGTATGTAAACCTCCGGGCAAGAATGTGTTCGTGTAACATTATCCAAGAAGCAGGAGAACATTTAAAAGCTTCCCGACTGTTTGTTTGAGTGAACGTGTCCAATATCTTAGAAACGGACACTGCCTGCGACACACAAAGGGGAACCAGGCTTCGCCGTTTACTGACTGAAGAAACGCCTCTACAGATGAAAGCCAGGTACGCACTAACCAAAAATTCGGCTTTCTGATTCAGGACAAAATTACACAAGACAGGAAACATTACCTGTAAAAAATTGACTCTTAGGGGAAGCACTTTATGGGTGAACTTTGGAATACGTTGGCTACGGAGACATCTACTTAAGTTTGATGTTAGGATCACGTTGCAAAATCAGATTCCCGATTGTGGAGATCTACGGAGAGATGAAATTATGGGGAAATGAGTTCAGAGAAGTAATGAATAAGGACCAGATTGAAAAACAGTACATCAACTAGATGACTGGAATTGGACCCTGACGTATGGGGAGTTGCTGGGAAATATGGGTATCAAAAATTATGCAGGGCTTCGAGGGTGGACCAACAATTTTTCCGTGAGGGTACTTAGAGATAAACCATTTTTTTAACTGGTAAGACAGACGTCCGCCCATTTCTACATTCTCTTTTTGAATGGCAGTTTTCTAAGCTGTGTGCATTCTCAGAAATAGAATTGGGCGATTCCTGGTTGGCGTAATCCATGGCTAACCCCAACGCGCGTGAAAGAAATCTAGGGCGCTGTGTTGCTCGTTCTAGTGAGGGGAAACACGGCTACATTTTTATTGAATATCGTGATCCTCTAGTCCCAAATGTTCGAACTTGATGTACATATACTGACTTGATTCATTGGCCTAAACTTGATGTATCAGCTATTGTTGTGGAAAGAGTATTCGAGGATCAGATATAAGTATGCCCATATTGTTGTGGAAAGAGTATTCGAGGATCAGATGCCCATACGCAGGTACAGTTTTCACACCGGTTCACCGTCCAGGCCGGGATGTGGCAGCTTAGTAAACTCGGCAGTAGTGCTGAAAATTGTTGAACAAGGCGCGTGGTCTAAAACTGAGACCGCGTTTGACGTTTACAAATACCTGCGGCAAAACCGATACAACAAGCAATATAGAGATTGCGACATTGACGAACTGTAAAGCAAACATGTATGTCTGCCATTTTCAATGAAGTTTCCAGTTTTATTTGCGGCTGTGATCACAACGCCTTTGGAGCCCGCCTGCGTATTCAAAATTGTAACCGAGCAATCCGAATTCCCATGTTCACTAATAGAGTCCAGTAATCTTCATAAGTGTGAAAACGCACGCTTGGACTAATACTTGTTAACTCCTAGACAGCCTTGTTTTTATCGGAGGTTCAGATGATACATGCGCATACGCTACATATGCATTTAATTACGCTGGGAAGAACTATGACGAGGCTGGGCAAAAATACTGTACGGTCGTAAATGAGGTGAAAAAATGCACGCTGCCACCTGACCTTTAATTCGCCCAGTTAGCTGATCGGAAACCTTGAGTGACCGCTTTTGGCTCAGGTGGCACTCACCTAATCCACTTGCTTGTGAGACACGTTCAGAGTGGTGGACCACGGTTATGGTATACGTAGACTCACCGTTGAAGTTGTCCAACTTGCCAAAATTCAGGTAACCAAGTTGACTGATTGGATTACCCTTTTTAGAGCACATATGGTGGGCGTGCCAAGCAACGCCATGGATGAAACCCTATCCGCGACTCTGGCCGGGACCCGCGACGCTGAGGTAGCAGACTCTGCAATGAAAACTTCATATGCTCCTTACGCTTCACGTTGGCTAGATTGCGATCTGAATGCCTAAAATTAGACACCCAATAACGTGCCGACAAATCTTTTCGATTAGTGGGTAAATATCCCCAAGACAAATGCCACACCTCGTGGAGAGCTCAACAGTCAATTGGGAAGTAGCCTGTTCATCTGCTCTATTAAGGTTGAATGTGTAAGTTTATAACTTAAGGGAACAGATCCAGTTACACTTCGACCCCATCATTGTGCAGAATAGCGTGAAATGGGGACATATATTTTGACCGCTTTAAAAACGTGTTCCTAGGCGCAGTCCTGAAGCCCTCACTTAGGCGACAACCTGAGGTCCAGGTTCACACAATTCATGCAAAGAAGAACAGTGTTGACTTCCTCGGAAAGTGGTAAATTCGGTGTGTTATTGGGAGCAACTCAAGGTAATATGAGTGTGCTTATTTAAGATGTGGATGGTGGTATCAGGTTCTGCAAGGTGCAGGAGGTAGAACAAGGCTTTGCTTACCAACTGATTTAAGGATTAGGCAGCATAGAGGTCTGTTCAACTATTAGGGATACATCATTCGTATCTACTTACAACGAGCTGGAGGATATAACCACCTGAAGCCCAGGTAACAAGTGTGGCGCTCTTGGACCAGACAGTAGAGTTGCCAGTATGCATGCAGACAGAGGTGGCATCCACCCATCACATCCTGGAACTGGTATCACGCTAAATGTCTACATTCACGGGCATTGTGAATGACTTTCATAGCGGTCTAACAGTCTCACGAAACTAAAGATGATTACTATTAGCTACAATCGTGTAGGCTAGAGAAATAGGATCATCAGGTTAGGGGCACATAATTATGCACCTGTTGTACTTGAGTCTATGGTCGTTAGTGCCTTCGCTGAGCTGGCCAGGTTTATTACATTTTTTTCACCAAGTTAGTTGACAAAAGTGAGTTCTTTGTTGTAAAGTTTAGCGATGAAAGTTTAGCGGATGAAAGGTTCTGCTGATTCGTTTGTTAACCTGCGTCCGGAGCAGCATTTGAGTTTAACCATTCAATTATCTTTTACTCGTCCGTGTTCAAACAAGCTCCGGTATATACTCCTCGGCTTCTGTGTTGCGCAACAGTCGCTAGCACTTCCCACCGGTTTAATCATCTTGATTCGGTTCCGCTTAAATAATCTGGTTATGACGTTTGTCTTGTGCACGTAGGAGTATTCACGCTGGACCTTACTCAAATCTGCGGTCAGGGAACACCTTGGGGCAAGAAGCATCTAAAAATTGCCTCACTTGTTTCGTATCAGCACAAGTGCGTAGAGTTTTTCACCCTCCAGTGTGAGTTCGTTCTTCTTCGTTTTTATGCATGGAGATCAAGACTAGGGAATCGTGCCTTAATATGACAAAGTTTCGTTCTTATAGTTGTGCAGGAAACTTCTCCCGGACACTTGCTGTAGCTGCTGGAGTTGATTTGGCAAACAGCATTGTTTTATTTTGCTCATTTTCTGTTGTTCATTGGCTAGGGGATCAGTTTCCGCGGACTAACACTTTTCTGTGGTACTAAATTTCAAATCTAGCCTAAAATTCTGCACATGATCCCAGTCGTATTGTTGATGAGTTTGCACTATCCACCTGATTTTATGTCCTTCCAGTTGCTGATACTGAAGTACGTATACATCAGTCCTCTTCAGACAAATTTCAATTGAAAGACCTTTCCGGCCTTCGAGGCTGCGATGTGCAAATTTTACCCGGATCACTTGAAAGGAATTTGGATGCATACCAACTCGCAATTCATTAGACTCACGCCTTTCTAGCGCGGAACTTCATATGTGTGGGTCGTCCTTTGTCATACTCAGGCTTGGAGAACACATCCAACTTCCTCTTCACTACAGCGTCCAAAAGTTGCGGCAGATTATCGCCTTCTAGTTTATAAAAAAACGTAAAATCTCAGAAGGTTCGGGATGTCTACCTAACGACACACCATCTAAAACGGAATATGCTATTCTGAATAATATCGAATGTCCTCCAAACCTGTTACTTTTCCAGGACGACGCGGATTCGCACTGACCCCATGGGTTTGAAAACGCTATCAAATATCAGCAAAATGTCAGCCAGTGGTAAAAACTGCATCCATGTTGGAAAGGTTCCGTGCACCGCTATGATGGAGCGAGGCCTTGGCATTCTTGATATCCTTACCCTCTGTTCAGGAAAACATGGAGTGCTTTGCACTGTGTTTGCAAACCACCCTAAAATTGCCCCTTTATCCCAACGACGGTACGGAACGTTTAGGAACACTTGTCCTGCTCCAAAACCGCAGGCGGAGGCTGGAAAGTTAAAAACGAAGCACAAGTAGATATGCACCATTATCTGCCAATGCATGCAGACAACGGTTGGTTTACGAGGGCAGAGCCTTAGTCAGTCTAGTAAAAAAGTGCACTCAGCAGCTCGCAGACGGTTGTTCAAGCAGTTCGGCTGTTTCTGTTAAATGATGCGCTTGCACCTGTCTTTTATACTTGTTCTGTAATATTTCATACAAACGCGTGGGGAACTAAGAATTGGCCTAGTTCTAGTAAAGGACGTATATCTGTGTTTGTTTATCATATGCGGTCATTTTAACTTTTCACTTTTGAGATAAGCTGATTCCGGGTAACAGCTCAAATCAAAACAGGCAAACTGATTGGTCTATTTAAGTCGACGTCGGCAAGAGTTTTCAGAATCCATTTCGGTGCAAATTGATAAGTTTGGCAAACTGCTAAATTTGTCCGCATATGGCGTGGAGCCTTTGATCATATGAACAATTGATGTGGCGAAACACAACAGCAATTTGTTCCAAGGGGCAGAGTTGTTCCCTTCAGCACAATTTGTCGACGGATATCGAAACCAATCAGAACGTAGGATATATGCGACCTTGCCGGATGACCTTTCTGGTTGTCGTGGTCCTCTGGTCTTCAGCGTCGTGCGCCTATGGGAGTTGCACGGTACCATGCAGTCCCTAGAAGGTTTTCCTACATCAATCAATGGTTCAAATACCTGCTGTGTTTAGAGAACTTCATTTTCCTCGTGAGTGTTAACTTTGCCCAACGTATATACTATTGTTTAATGGGTGGAAGAGAATTTACAGTCATCGTAATATTGCTTCTTTGCATTGGCGCGGAGTCACTAAGCTGAAGCTCTTCGTGTCGTCTAAGGTCTGTAATAGATGTTCTGGGTGTTGTGTCCCTTTGTGATTCGTGGCATATGCCGTACAAATGCCCAGTTTCTCCCACCATTGAGTTCCAGTAAACCTGCGAACCGTCCACTACATGACCCTCATTTACCCCTTGCGGATTGTTCAGCGTAACTGTAGGTCAGTAAAAGGGAATCTTCATTCCTGTTTATTCTTCTGCCGAGAACAACTGGTTGTAGTTTCCATCAAGGATTCATCGAGGATTCAACCGTGCTTAGTTCCAATATGCAGTATGGTCTCTGTGGATGTGCATTCTAGATTCAGTAGTGTTTTTTGTCATTTCCGATGAGCGCTAGTCTTCATTTGTGTAAGGTTTGCTTGAGCAACCGTGGAACATTTAGAACCATGGTGCCTGGCAGTGTCGTGTAAGCATGCGCTTTCAGGTCCTCGGTTGAGTATTCCGAAGTCGTGTTGGTCTGCATCGCTGGGATAGTTTATAAACTCAAGCTACACGCCGCGCTGCCGTGTGCTAATCCCACTACCATAAATCCGTATGTGTAAGCGTTGAAAGGTAGTTTATTCAGTTGTCCAGGCGGTAATGTTTTTACCCACATTCAGGTGTGTTTGTCGCACTGTACTCTCTTTATCATTGTTTTCTCGGTCTACTAATGTAAGCCAGTTTTTTTCGGTTGAACTGACCAAGTGATCTCGTCCATTGGCGTGCGATCTACACCCGCAAAGTGTTCTTGGACTTGCTCTCAACCAACATGCCACCTACAATCCAAGGAGAGACACTCCATGTTGTGGGGCGTTTAATATATTTTGAATTTTTGTAGTAATTCTGATTGTAGTGCGAAGGATGAGGTAAATGCATGAGTCCTCAACGAACGCGTCCCGTTTGTTAAATTGAGAACAAAGCGGTGAACCTGCATCCCTAAATCTCAAAAGGCGTGTATAGCGGACTAGATTGCAGGCTGCTCTTTGTATCGTAGTTAAACGTGGCCTCTTCCAGCAGCAGAACTGAGAAGCCTTCGACACTCTTCGTCTCAGGATCGTAGCTCGCGTAGGTGGGTGCCGGCGAAACCGCAGTGGTACAATTAAAAAACGAGTGTTCAATTGTGCAGCATGGACTATCGATAGAAGAATGTACCCAGCACCAGAAGCTGCGGTGGTTAGGTCGTATTGCGCATGTTGAAAGGATGCCGTTTTCAGTGCATAATACATACTGATCGAAGTAAAGTGGTGTTCAACCTCTAAGCTATTGAAGAGGTATAAGCAAACCACGAAAAGTATGGGTACGACCGATACTACTGGTCTTCCGGAATAGGCTCCGCGTATTCCCTCTGGTCGATGTTAATGGCGTTGTTGTTGTCAGTATATGAGTTTCAGTAGGTGTAGACTAGAACCAAGTACATTCTCCATCCACTTGTATTCTTTTCTTCACAATAAGGCTTTCGAATAACTTACGGTTGTGCAGGGGAGGAGCGAGCTGGCCCAAGTTTTTAGCGCGAATTTACTGACCTGAAGGTCGGTGGTTCGAACCTGACCTATGCCTCTCGATATCCCTTGTCTTAGGCTTGGGAAATCTGGCACTATCCCAGCTCTCGTGCAACCGGCTGGCATGGCAGTTAGGCACCGAAATGGTGCTGCAGCTGAACGATCTATTGCGGTTGTATGGCATCTAAGCGTTGTTGTTGAACACAGGCTCATTTCTCCAGACATCGCCACACAAGCGTAATGCGGAGTGCTTCCAACCTTTCATTTGTTAATGTGGCGAGTGCTTATCGAAGACCCAGAGCTCCTCTCTGACCACCAAAGCAGCTCTATCCATCTGGGCTGTTGTTTTGACCATGTTGATGACCGTCATCCCGGGGTGTTTTCCGCATCGATACTTGTCTCACTGCTGATATGGGAATAAGTGCATTTGTCCGCGTCGATGGTAAGGTGCCGGATTCTTGAACGTTCGGGTAGGCTATTAGGGTCTTCCTGTAGGAATTTGGGTTGTATTTGTCACGGATTTCTGCCGCACATCCCTTTGGTCCGCATACATCAAATAAGGTGATCGAATTTCGTTGTCCCAGATTTTCCCTTGGCCTGAGGAGCCCCGCTTCCAGTAAGGAGCTACACCGTGTCACACAACATTGATCGTTTGTTCTGACTTCCGGACAATTAAGTTCGAAGTTTTCTCTATCTCAAGGGGGGGGTGTTAGACGGTACGTGTCCGCCTAGATGGTGTCTTACGGTTCAAATGGAATACCAATACAGCGAGACCATTGTTGCTCAGAGTTGGTACGGGCTGCAGATGAATCACATTAGTCTCTGTCGGAGACACCGCCAAATAAAGAACGTTTAAAAGTTCTGTGGGTCTTTTTACTTCCTGTACATGGTATGAACGGCATTCTTTTGCGCACAGGTCAGTACTGCGTGTGCAACTGTCGTTGGTTCGGTCGATTGAGGGAATGTTGAAATCCCCGAGGGCAAAGTATAGTAAAGTAAGCTGGTAAGCCGCTTCATATCGATTAGCAGGAGAGATATATTAAGCCTGTGTACTTGTGGCCAAAGTTTAACCTTGCATCGCACGTCAGTCATCTTTGAAAATAAAAAAATACTCACCAGCTGTAACCTCCTTTCGGTTCCTAGCTGCTGTGCCATCCGAAGGAAGTACGAGGGCTAGGGTACTACCAGGTTGCCCAAGGAAGGGGAAGTCGAGAGGCAGGGGTCGGGTTCTGACATAACTGGAGGAGGACAAAAGGATGTGGGGTTCGTTCAAAGTATCCAAGAAGATCTAAATGCACGCGTGTTTTTTGCTGAGTGAAGAACATCCATCAGTCAGTAAATTCATTAGTTCCGATTATTTGGCACGCGTCCCCGAAGGTTGACAACTGTGGATGGAAAGTGATGGCGATTAGTTCGATATCCTCACAAAGACCTTGAACTTGTGTTCCACCTAACCTCGGAGAGAGGAATCAAGAGTAATCTTCTGGCTTCAGGTTACCAAATTTAGGAACTGTCACGTGAAGCAGGCGTTGATGATGATAGACGTGTAGACGTTGAGATGGGAGCCAAGGGTGATTTCCGTGCATTTTGAATGGGTTAGTGAGGACGCCTCAATCAACGTAGTGAAGCATGAAAGAAGGTGGCAGCACTAGCCTCTTTCCGCTCTCTCATCTGGCTGTATGAAGCATGTCGGGTGATCCGGTTGCTGTCACCAGTTCAGTGTTTTACACCGTCTCACTTGAGATGTAATACAACAGTAGACTAAAACATAGACGGAATAAAGTTCGACAGACATTATGCCAATAATTGTTCCGATTGCTTCATGATGGGCCGGCCTGGGCTGAAAGAGGGCAGTGTTATAAGAAGCAAGTGGCATCCTCACCTTCGTCACTTCCGGTTTTCACACCGTGTCAATATGTAGGGTTTTCAGCGTCTTAGCAACTTTGGCTTTTTCGCCAAGATTAAAAATATTCATTTTCTGTATGGAAGGTCGTATTGCCGACAATACAAACTTCAGAAAGAGATATTTGTCATTTCACGTGTACTAATTTTTTTAAAGCAAATGATTCCAGAACAACTCAAATTCGCAGTAAATTTTAGCGGGACCGATTAGGTACAAAATGTTCAGCAACTTAATCGAAAAGTGCACATTTTTGTCATGAGCATTCGGGATACGTATTGCCAACCGTATTTTTTTCAAATATTTACTAGAGATGATACTTAATCCTCCTAGCATTCTTGCATGACGTATGGCTGAACAAAAGAAAGGTTGGTAAGTGGTTCTCCAAATATGGTGCTTGCTAGCATCTCATGTGAAAGATCCAAAATTTTCTCTACAATCTTGGAAGGACATTCAACTTCCATTGTTTGTTTCATGTTTGACGTGTCACAAGCAATCCAGTTTTGAAAGTCGAGCCGACAAACCTCGTATACGTCTTAAGATATCCGGTGAATTAAAATGTGCAGTAAGTTTCCCGCCGACCATTTCATCTTACGCGGTATCGAACTTGGCCAACGTCGCTTTGTGGTTCAAACTGGACTTGTCACATACAAACATGATGAGTTCACATTTCTCATTTCCGATGTTTTCTCTTGATTCGTGTGACTGAACTGCGGTGGGCAACCAGTCGGACAGCTGGTATGCTTTTGAGACTACAGTGCCAGGTTTCACGCGATGCTGTACTTACACACCAATCGAACAACATCCAAAAGTATGCTGTTCGCTGAGCAAACAAACCAACGGCCATCCGAAAGTATTTCTCCTACTGACACGGGTCTGGTCCAGTTGCTTGAGTCAGCATTGCCGTATTACTACTACCCGGTCGCAACTTAACAGGTTAAGCTAATTGTCGAATGCAAGCATGTGGCAAAGTAGTGGGGTTACTTGGTTATCCGAATTGCCAAATTGTACATTGAGTTCAGCGAACTGAACGGCGTACATTCCTGGTTACCGATACTCTGAACCAGACCTATATTTTAACACCAGCTCTGCGCAGGTGTCTTTGTCCATTCGTGTATGGTTTGAACTTAACCTTGATTATGCATACCCCGGTGAATGCAACGTACTCTCTCAATATTTGCTACACTACCTATTTAGCCATTCCTCTTTATGGAGGCTGGATATTTAGCTGAGGTTGATTAGACTGTTTCTCGTCAGTCGATGTTTTTCATCTTAGTAGCGTTGTTAACTCTACCTCATGACTTGTTTCAATTTTAAATAGCTCACTGGTGCAATCTTCCTTGTATTCGGTGTGATCGCCTTCGTGGAATCTGGTGGTATTCCAAAGGGTTCTACAGTAACGGCGCTACAGTGGCTTTTCAACCTGACTGTTCTATGTATTGGCGTGGGGATTATCACTCTGTTCGTTTCGATGGCTGGTTTTATGGGTTCGTTACGTGAGAATCGCTGTTTCTTAAAATTTGTAAGTTGTTCTCATCTCTTTGATTTATCTATCTCCATCCTTAGTACTACATAGTGTTGACCGTGTTATTTTTGGTCGAAGTCGTTTGTTGTGTTTTGTTCTTTATCTATCGCGACACTGCCATAAGAAAACTCGAGGATCTCATACGGATTACTTTTGTCACGCAATATCGAGAACCAGGATTTGAAGACACAACCAACTTCATGGATTTCATTCAAAAGGAGGTGAGTAGTTCTATCGAGAGAACCAGGTTGTTTTTTAGCTGCAATGCAGTGAATGTCATTCTGAACCATGCAACTTTTATAAGTTATCGGCCTTCTCATTCTTTTCTCCATCTATAGTTAATTTAACCAAGTTTCAGCTGAATGAATCAGGGCTTGGGTGGAGGATGTGCACAGAGAATTCAGTGAATGAAGAACTGTAAGAACGGATAGTACTTTTCGGCTACTCAGTTTGAAGAAAGGGGTTTGGTTGACGAACCCTATACTGGGCATCTTACCCAAAAGTCTGCCCCGTTAAGCAGTGGGAGGGTGTAGGGTTTTGTTCACAGACTGTTCCCCTAGTCTGTAACAATGCAGTCTCGGCTAAGAGTCATGCTGTTGATGGAGTTTTCGGGGATTTGATTGACGTACCCCAGTTTCCATCTATAAAATATTCCTTCAAATGAATGGTACATCTTATTCTGATGGAGACAGGACTCAATTGAATAGCCTGTCAACACTGTTTAGTTTTTAGTGCGATTCTAGTCAGGTATTGTTTAGCCAAAGTTCGAAAATGATACTGTTCCCAGAGAGGGGACTAGAGCTTGTGCTGCGGAGGTAAATTTTGAATGAGCGAGTCGTGTGGCAAAAGTGGGTATTAAAGTAGTGCTTACTACTAGGGTGGCTTTTAAGCTGGTTATGGGAGACTTTGTTGGTTTTTGTCAATAGTTGATACCTTGATTGCATTGCAATATAGCCTGAACTCAGATGTATTCAGGGATGAACGAAGACTCCGATGCGTTTACTTTGGAAACCAGATGTATAGAATTAAAACCTCCAGCTAATGTGAACACTAGCTATCCAGCTCACCAACACGTTAGCTTTGGAGTAACAGCATACCACAACTGGCGAAGATGAGAGTAATCCTACCTGAGTAACACCTCACTGATCGTAAGAAATAAAAACAGTTGAGGAACACTGTAGTTTATGAAAAATCTTTCTGCCTGGCTCCATTTCTTTTGATCTTCAACAATCTGTTACACTGCTGTCGCATCAAAGACGTTCGTTAAGTTCCACTTAACCCGAGGCAAGACCTCGTGTTCACCTTTTTCTTCGTGAATCACTGTGTTTTTCTTACTGTCTACTCGTGTTGCGGACAGTACATTTGTTTGAACTGATCCGACCGATAGTAGATGGCAGCTGAGGAACTCTTTGGTGGGATGGTCAGGTACACAGCCCTAATAAGAAATAACGACGACTGAAATGTAATTCGGAAACTTTTCGCTGATCCACTGGTTGTCTCAGCCATTGAGCTGTCGCGAACTTCTTGTACGATGTTTGTTCGCGCGGCTTCTCTGACTGATTTGTTCCTTCGACCTGATTTCATTCGCTGCAACAAAGATAGTGAAGCTGAGCCATAGGTTTGCCATCCTCTGTTTGTATGCGAATGTTAGAATTATCTTAATAGTCTTTGGTCATTCATTACACATCAGTTGTATCCGTAACAATGCTTTGCCAAGATGCAGCAACCCACTTACAAGCTCAATCCTCAACGTTGTGCCGATCACCACATTAGACTTCCTATTACAATGTACTTCCAAAGTCCATAGAAGGTAGATCCCTGTTTTCCGTTGCGGCCCGGCTGTCTTGGACCCCGGACCGTTTGGCGGCTCCTCGGTTTACTCCAGTGACTCGCCCTGTGGTTGATTTCCAGTGCAGTTAATGCTGTCGCATTCTTTCACTCTTTCTCCCTTTGCAGCTTCGTTGTTGTGGCCCTAAAACCTACACAGATTGGACCGCCAACCGATATTTTTCTTGCAACCAGACAAACACTAGTCCGGAAGCCTGCGGTGTTCCGTATTCTTGCTGTCGGCGAATGAACAACATAAATGTGAGTTGTGTGTAGTCTTAGTCTCAAGGTTTAGTTCCGAAAGCTAACTATGGAGGACTAGCTAAAGAAGTTGTAAAGGGTGTCAACCACCAACAGAATTCGACTGGTTGTTACCGCAATTTTTCTCATCTGCCTTGGTTGCTCGGTATCCCCGCGCTGCAAGGAGTTACAAGATATCGCCCTCAGTAATTTCATAGCGCTGTTTTTCGGTAGAAACTATTCGAAACTGACTCCCAATAGATTCGGGTTCAGCTTTAGATAACAAGGGGTGGGGATTTAATGTGAATACAGCAACCTTTGCAACTAAGCCGTTTAATGTAACCAGTGGTGGCATCAACACGAATGCTTTTGGTTTTGGCTTGGCCAGCTGCTTCCTTATAAACCGTAGTTCCACCATCACCTCGTTACGTCAAGTCCTGTGTGACTGTCCTACCAGAGTCATAGACCTCAGATTACATCCACCAGGTTGTGGGATTCGAAAAAATGCCTTTGAACGGCTCAGTATATTTGACTAATCGAATGTCTCTGATCACCTTATCAAAAGATTTCTTCAGCTTTTTGTTTTTTGCTTCTCCATAATAGGTAGCGTAGATGACTTACGGGGCTCCATATTATTCGCTGGTGAACATGAATATGGATACTTGTTTGGTTCTCGTCGGTATGGTTCCTAAAATGGAGTGAACATTCTGAATAGTGTCCTTTTAAAGGACATATGAAATGTGCTCTCATTTTCTCGCGAACTCCGTACTTTGAGGTGTCGCCCTACAGGTTAGATTATTCAGCCAGTGGCCACCTCGTTACGTCAAGTCCTGTGTGACTGTCCTACCAGAGTCATAGACCTCAGATTACATCCACCAGGTTGTGGGATTCGAAAAAATGCCTTTGAACGGCTCAGTATATTTGACTAATCGAATGTCTCTGATCACCTTATCAAAAGATTTCTTCAGCTTTTTGTTTTTTGCTTCTCCATAATAGGTAGCATAGATGACTTACGGGGCTCCATATTATTCGCTGGTGAACATGAATTTGAATACTTGTTTGCTTCTCATCGGTATTGTTCCTAAAATGGAGTGTACATTCTGAATAGTGTCTTTTTAAGGGACATATGAAACGTGCTCTCATTTTCTCGCGAACTCCGTACTTTGAGGTGTCGCCCTGCAGGTTAGATTATTCAGCCAATGGCTCCCGACGATGGTCCCTAAGCAAATCTCCCACTCCGGTGTGGACACTTTGGTACCAGTTTCCCCACAGACAAACCTTTATAGTACGATCGAAAATCATCACCACCTTCTGTGCTCTCGCCGACTGCTCATCTGCCAACGAAAATCCTATCTCTACTTACTGTGCGCTCTCTGCCACTGAGAC